AAGTAATTTCCTTCTCATTTGAGAAACAAACCTCAGCACACAATTAACCGGGACCGAAGCTTGAAGGCAGGTTTCAACCAGTGCAGCTCTACTGCCAGCAGCATGGACTGATGGATGCAGAGTCCCTTTAAACCCAGTCAAAACACCCCAGCCCAACCCTGCAAAACACTTCACCTCCTGTCAGAACTGCAAACACCCTGGGCATCACTGCATGGCTGCATCTGCACAGGCACAGCTCTGACTTCCACAGATTCCTCGGCCTAACTCGTAAACTTGGACTCAAAGGAAGCAATAAAGGTTACAGATAGATGGATAATCTCTCTCTCTATATATAAATAACATGTAATCTAACAGCAAAATAAAGCTAAGAATGAGCACAACTCATTCTCAACACCACGGGCTTCCTCTGAGGAGCAGCCAGTGTGGGGAAAGCCCTGGAAGGGGATGGCAGCTGGGTCCTGGGACCTTGCAGGGGAGGGAGGAATCGTGCTGGAAGGGGGATGATTTGCCAGCTGGAAGCCACCAGTTAGGGACAGAAGTTACAGGACCCTGTGGAGAACTGCTGAGTGAGGACATGGGATGAGCAGGAGCTCGGGGTGACAAAAACTGCCCCAAGGAAAGACACAGCAGTTGGTTAATTGTGTGAGGGGGGGAGGAGGACGGGGGGGGGGGGACGGGGACTCCAGAAAATGCATTTTTCTATTTACATCATTTTTATTTCGCCCTCAGTCCACACAGTATCCAAGCAACTCAGAATCCCAAATGGATTTTCTGTTTACCCTGGGGAGCAGGGAATGGCCAAGGGCTGGGGGAGCCAAGGCAAAGAGCAGAGCAAGTGCTTTCTCAGCCTGGGGTCAGAGAGACTGTCTGACCACGATGATGCCAGCCCTGCTCAGCCTCTTCACCACAAAGGCCTCCTCCCCCGAGGGAGGGAACTGCTCAGCAACCTGCCGGGGTTTATTGGAGAGGGAAGGCCCTGAGGACAAGAGAAACACTAATCATACAACCATTAAGGCTGGAAAAAGACCCCCAGGATCATCGAGTCCACTCAGCACCACAGTGTTCAGCACCGAACCCTGTCCCCAGCTGCCACATCACAAAGCATCACACCCCCCAAAATCACCCTATTATTGTAACAGTTTTCCACTGGGAAAAAAACCAACATTCTCATCCTATCTGTGCCCAGCTGAGGCAGAGCTCTGCTGGGTCAGCACTGCTGCTCAGCTCAGCAGGGACAGGAATGGGATGGCCCCAAGGAGAGGCAAGACACGGGTCACTCCAGCCACTCATGGGGGGGTTTTTGCCATGGGCTACATGAAAAGGATTCCTGCATCCTTCTCCAGAGTTTTCCAGCTGTGCTTCCCTCCATCTGAGCACATTTTCCGCACCACAAAAGCACTCCCTTGTGGTTTTCAGACTGGCTGTTCAGCACTGGCACAAGAAGGAACGTTGCTGGGTGATGTTCCAGTCACCTGGGTCCAGCACTGCCTCCCCTGCTTCAGCAAAAGGCTTTTGTGCTTAGAAGTCTAACTTAAAAAGTCCACCTGTAAAAGCAGACCAGACAGACACGTGAACAGCAGAATAAGGACTTGAAAGCAGACTGGTAAAAAGCATAATTTTTCTGTTCTGGCTGACTGATAGAATCATTTGGGTTGGAAGGGACCTTAAAAGATCATCCAGTTCCAACCCCGTTGTGAAGAATTCCCTCTCATAGTGAAGGATTCATATTTATAATATCATGGTACACAGTATGATCAAATCCAAGAATTTTGGGGTTTTCTGGTAGTAACTTGATTTTTTTTTTGAGCTATTTCCTCTGTCAAGAGATCCCGAAGCAGCACAGCCCGAACTGCAGCAGAAACAAGTGCAGAAGTGTTCTGGTTGTTCACAGGAAGCTGCTCCCAAGGGGATGCAGTTCGGGCTGTTCCAGCTGAGGTTCAGTGGAACATCTGCACAGGGCTGTTTATGCCTCCTCCCTGCACAGCTGGAGGAGCCTGGAGAGCTCCATGCAGGTGGCATCCAGCACAGACACCTGCCCTTTGATTTGTGTTTTCCATCGGCAGTTGTGTGTTTTTTGAGGGGGACAGGCTGGGATCACGTTTGATTCACAGCTCACCCGTGTTTGCTGCCAGCTCAGTCCTTCAGCACCCACGGAACACAAACACAACCCTGGGGCTCGTGGGTCCCTTGAAGGGTCAGTTGTTCCCCCACAGCAGCCTCTTCTCACTCCCCTTATAATCAAGCTGTATTATTCTGGCAAAGCAATTTACTTTTTTAACATTAAGAACTCCTAGAAAGTGAGAGCTGACAGAATGTTTTGTTAGTGCCTGGTGTCTCTGCAGCCCAGAAGTGGCTGCAGGGACGACGCACCAGTTGAAAGTCAGGAGAGGAAAAACAAATATTCCCTATTTCTGGGAACGCTGCAGCTACAACACTTTGTTCTCACTGAATTTGTGCTACTTCCTTGTGGCCTGTTCTCATGCTGCTGTTAACCTCTTCTCAGACCAAGATAGTATTTCCATCTCATGTCCAAAACAAACCAAGGGCAAAACCCAGAAAACACGGCATGGACTAGGAATAAAGAAAAAAGAACGTGTGGGTGGGCAAACACTGGAACAGGTTGAGTTTCCATCATGGGAGATTTCCAAAAAACCCAGCTGGACGTGGTCCTGAGCACTCTGAGCCTGCCTGGAGCAAGAGGGTTGGAGCAGATGATCCCCAGAGGTTCCTGCCAGGCTGAGAGATCACGTGTGGTCACGAAGGGCCCTTCCCAGCCCTTGGCTGTATTGGGCACTGAGAAGCTTCTTGTGAAGAACTTCCCTCTCTCTGCAGGGAAGTCAGAGATGGAAAGCTGACAAAAACACTGAGATGCCATTGAAAAAACAACTCGAAACCCCCCTGCTTTTCAAAAGAGGCCAAGCAGCAGGCAAAACTAAAGTCACAGGGAGTTTTGAGCAGGGCCTGACCTGGAGCAGTGTTTGCTGGACAATTCCAACAGTCAGCACAGAACCACTGAACGGTTTGGCTTGGAAAGGACCTCAGAGATCACCATTTCAACCCCCTGATGTGGGCAGTCCTGGGCTTCAAAAAGGATTCCAGACCATGTGGTTACTCTTCAGCCCACGGTGCTTAAAACCTTCTCCATATCTTTCCTGCACCAAATAATTCAAAGGCCCTTTTGTCTTAGAAACAATGAGGTACCATTTTCCCATTTACAGCACTCCAGCAACTCAGTCCCACACAGGAAGGACACTTTGCACAGGCTGCTGGCAAACATTCCCCATGGTTTACACCAAACCTGAGGAAAGGAGAAAGTCCTGAGCCCAGCACAGACACACAGAGCCTAAAAATAGTTTTCTGCAGCACAGAGGAACCCCAAAGCAGGGTGATTTTTCTAGTTCATTACCTTAAATTATGATCAGCCTCCTCTGGATTGAACACTGCCCAGCTGACACCACCTGCCTTTGCACCTTCTCCTGGGAAACCCTGACACTTCAGGAACTACTTGTGCATTAGAAACAAAGCCATGTAGTCTTAAGTTTCCCTGAGTTTTAATTTTTTACAAGCTCTCGGGTAGGTTTTGGTTGATTTTTAAAAAAAAATCCCATTTATTTAGTCATGTGTTCTGTCCAAATTCCTGATACCAAAAATTATCACCACCATCCCCACCCTTTGTTCTCTTCCAAGGAGGGACATCAGGTTCATTTCAGGAATGAAGATGCAGCTTGTCAGGGGAAGGGCTATGGAAATGTTACCTTGCACACTGATGTATTTTTAGCAGCTCAGGGATATTTATAGGGCTGTGAGGGGCTGGTTCAGGGCTGCGGGATGAAGTCAGTGTCCCAGGGGCAGGGAGGAAAAAGCTGCACATCTGCCAGGCAGGGCAAGGAGAAGGCAGTGATGCCTGGAGTTCATGGAAAGGGGAGAAGGCCAAATGCTCCAAGGATGCCTTCTTCCAGTCATTATCAAAAATCAAGTAACTAGGGGAAAAAATTAAAATATTGGCCCTAAATATTAGCTCCTCTTTTATTTTCCTTATTATTAAAGGTATTCACATGGTGAAGTGCTGAAGCAGACAAATTCAACAAAGAGAATGCCCAAAACACAGCTCCAGTTTGGGAAAGTAGCAGGGGGGGAGTCTCAAGAATGAACACACTGATCACCAAAGTCTCTTCTTCTAAATTTGTGCCACCAGCCCCAGACATCCCCAGCACGTGCTCCAACCTGCCAGCCTGGAACCAGTCACTTCTCACACCAACAGGAGAAGCTTTTGGGCGTTTAACAGAGATTTGGTGCCCTCAAGGAACTGTCACTGCAATTGTTCATATCTTTGCTCCAGGCACTGCTAAAGAGGTAAAAAAGGTCTGACATAAAATATCAGAATAAACTGGAGCAGAACTCAACACTGCAGTGAGAGCATCAGCTGTTCACTCACCTCAGGCCGTGTCTTAGCACCTGTTTTGGCTGGGGAGAGCACACACACCTCCACCAGAACTGAAACTGGAATGTGAGGGACGTTCCTGGGCATAAGCACTGCAGAGAAACCTTACTGTCTCTGATATTCTCATGGCCTTCCAGTCCTGGATTTGTCAGGGACACCTGAAGCCCTGCAAGAGCCCAGGTGACCCTGAAAATCTGATACAAGCCAGAAGCACCGTGTGTGTCACCTGCTTTGGGCTCCTCACAACTGGGGATGGACAACTACAGACCTTTCGTGGGCAGCAGAAACCAAACCAACACCTATTTCAACACAAAGGTCACACAGAAATCGTTATTTCAATCCAGTATTTGCATGTTGAATTTATCAGGACACTTCTCTACCATATTAAACTACCTTATTTTGGAACTAGTGCTGATGGAAGAAGAAAACAGAAAGGGGGGAAAAAAAAGTATATGAAAGTCACAGTGACTTAATTTCTAAGATAACAGAGGTTAGGTGAAAACCAAGAGCCCCACCTAGGGGTTACTGTGCATTCTAACTCAGGACAAGGAAGAATAAATGGGTTTTAGGGTTTGTATTTTTTCGTTTGAGTTACTCCAGTTGGAATTTAACCTTTACTACAATATCAACAGTTAAATCACAGCTTTAAAAAAAAAAAAAAAGACTGAGGCAAAGAGCTGTATTAGACTTTGGATGAGATCTACTTACAGTAGTACTTCAGCACCAAACCGTGGGCAGTTAGGCTTCCAGATGTATGTACAATTAAATGATATGGCACAGTCGTAAAATGCTTAGTTATTTATAATGAAATCTATACAAAACAGTTAAAAACATGGTTTTATACACATTTGGGAAAAAAAAAAAAAAAGTCTTGGTTACCAGAATGTATTAAAACTGGTTCTCTCCTCCCCTCTGAACCCAAACCTGTCTCCATGACTGGAACTATCCCAAACCCCAAGGTATTGCTTCAACAAGCCAAGGCATAGGGCTAATTCTGGAAACCTACCCCTGGATGCCCATTTAAAACTCCCCAAATGGTCAACTTTTAAGAACAGCACGTAAGAGTAAAATACAGATTTTTAAAAGCCTTACATCACTTCTAAGTTCACAAGTTCAACTTGGAAAGACGTTGAACCACTTATCCCCAGTTTTGAAAAACTGATTTATAGCAAAAGACACCCCCCCCCTCAGTTTGTATCAGAATTAACACAACTGCCTGTTTCACAGGAACTTTTTCAACAACTTGGCCTCACTTTAATAAATAATCAAAGACTAACTGGAGTAGATGAGCATCTTGTGCACTTATGGCAAAAGAAATGCCTCATATACCATCACCCTACTTCTTGTAAAACATGAAAACAAAATCCACCAGCAAATCCACTTTTCTATCAGTTAGTGATTTTGCTTATTTCCAAACATTCACCAACAAAAATTTAAAAAAAATATATTTTTAGTCTTACGAATAAACCCCCAAATCTTATCTCTAAGTGAGCAAGAAAGCTGACCAATTCCAAAATTCCAGCACTGTCAGAGACACTTCTTCTCTCACGTGCTATTTGAAAATACAGGCATTTATTAAATGTTCTCTCTTTTTTTTTTTGATGGTGTTTTTCTCCAGGAAAGGACCCGGCAAAGCGACGCTCCCTTTTCCCTGGGAGCTGCTTCAGGATCTGGGCAAGGGCTTCCAGAGCACGAGCTGCAGAGTCTGCTGCAGTCTGCTGTTCGAGCAGGAGTACATTCCACTGTCACAGCTTCACTAAATCTTGGGAACTACATCTTTTCTTCTCTTTTGGAAACAATTTCAAGGGCGCAGCTTCTGCGACACCGCCTCGTTAAAACACAGCGATGCTTCGAGGGTCCAGCCAACAACAGGCAAAGTGCTCCAGGACATCACAGCACAAGGGCATCTTGGATCCTCGGAATCCCAAGATGTTCTAAAGTGCACTCCAGGTCCCAGGGGCTCAGGATTGCTCGGCAGAGCTGCGGGAGGGGCTGGGCTCGGGGCCATCCTCGGGGCCGCTGTCCCCGTCCTGCTCCAGCGCCGTCTCCTCGTCATCCAGGCGCTGACTGGTGAAGTTGTTGAGCTCCAGGAGCCCGCTGGGTTCCACCACCACGTTGGAGCTGGAGTGACAAGGGATGGAATAGTGAGGGATAGTCTGAAAGAAAGAAAACATCCCAATTTAGCAAACGGTTTGGACAGATGAAGGCGTCTGTGCGAGCACAGGCGCTCAAGGACAAAGATATTTGGTTTCCAAGGGCAGTTTTCCCCAGCTAAGGCTTCAAAGCATCCTTTCACTGGATTGTGAAAGGTAAAATTTGAGTGATCTGCCTCTTCAGGCCCCGATCCTGGCCTTTGATCTTCCCTAAAGGTCTGTGACAGCATAACCAATGCCCATCACCCACCGCTCCCCAAACCCAAAGCAGAGAGAATATTTTCTTCAGCCTTATCTTTTTCAGACAAGCCATCCTGATGTCCTGAGTTAGGGGAGACTCACAAGGGTCACTGAGTCCAATCCTGGCCCTGCACAGGACACCCCAAGAATCCCATGTGAGCATTGTCCAGGCACCCTGGGATGACTGACTCTGTTTTCTGTACTAAACTCAACACAAGCTCCAGCCCCGCTCGGAGCTGCAGCAGCACGGAGGCTGTGGAAACACCACAGCTGTTTATTTCTAACCTATTGTCATTATTTATATCTAAGCTATTTATTTCTGTTTATACTTTCCCAGGTTCTAGAAGCGAAATCTGCAGCTTCACACAACTGAAATTCCGGGCAGCATTCGCCTTTTGAAAGAGCCACAGGGATAAACAGGACAGGTTCTCAAAACACACAGGCCTGAAGTAAAACAGAAATCTACTTTTGCCTATTTAGGGAAAGGAGGGCTATAAATGAGTACAAAAATGATGATTTCTACCACCGAGAAGTTAGCCCCAGTGAAGATTTTATGAAGCAGCACGAAAAATTTGAGACCTCTGCACACAAATTGTTTCCCACATCAGCAGCATTTTCACTGTAACACAAATGATACATAATACAACCATTTCAATCCACACTCTCATTTGTGTGAGCACAGACTGTGCCAGCTATTACTTATATCCATATTATACCACTCAGAAGACTTCTATATTTCTTTAGTTGATATTTAACTCATTACAACATAAAACATCATATTTAAGAGAGCAGAATCAATGAAAATATCGAGCATCAGTTAAGCAATAACTCAAGGCATACAGGCTGAAGATCAATAATCATTTTATCTCAGAAGTGGTAAGTCTGGTCATAAGTGAAGTTAAAAAGCTCCCTTTTGAATCCAGACCTTATTTGCTAAACTTTCCCAGTAAGTAAAACTCCACTATGCCATTTTTTGTACTAATTTTATACTCAGAGGTAACACTGATAGAAATTACAGAAGATTCTAGAACACAGGTGTTGAAGGCCACATTTTTACCCATCTCAAATGAAAGTAAAATGAGATGAGCTTGGTTGTTTTAACAGAGAGAGGAAGACGCTGAGGATGCAGTGCTAGAGAAACTCCAGCTCAGTTTAAGAACAATGACACACTCTGAAGCAGCAATCCATCACAAGAGCAGGAAAAGAACCCAAACCACTCAAACATCACCCAGTGGCCACCACCACATCAGCCACGAGTCTGCTCTGCTCAACCCTCTGCCTCGTTGGCTCTGCTCTTCCCTTACCTGGACGACGATCTCCGAGGAGCTCTCTTCAGCTTTCTTCTGGGAGAGGTTCTGAATGTGCACAAACTGGTTTGCTGGGGGCACTCCCTGTGCCTCGGCGGGAGCAGCAGCAGCAGCAGCAGGAGGGGCTGGGCTGGGCTCTGGCCGGGGCTGTTGCTGGGGGGTGGAGGTTGTTGCCGTCGTCCCTAGAGCAGCCACCCGAGGCACCTGGGGACAAGGTGACGACTCTGCTTCACTAGAGACTTTACTAGTGGACGTGGCCTGGTCTGGGGGATCCACTACCGTGTGCTCTATGTTTGCATCAGTGGGAGCTTCCACCACAGACACTCTCAAAATATCTGCTACTGCTGCCTCCGGGGGTGCCTGCATGGGAAATAGGGCTGGTAACCGGCAGTGCCAGCTGGGGCACTCCACTGCCACCTGCTACCTCTGCAAAACAAGGAGGCTCACACCCCCCGAGCACAGTGTCAGCTCTGCAACACTGGATCCTTGCATTAGAGTTGCATGTTGCACCTGAAAATCAAATTTTTGTTGTGCATATCACAGTTAAATCTTTTCTCATCGAACACCTAATCGGTATTTCCGAGGACAGAAGGGCACAAACAACATAGTTGCTATTAGGAAGACAGTTGAAACTCAGTGTTTTAACAAAGGAACTGGAAATGAGAGGGTGACAGTTAATTGAAGCCTGGGGAAAAGCAGCTTCTTAGGCTGCTAGGTAAGGATTGTAGCAGTATAATACCACAGCAGCCTCATTTTCCTTTGGGATTTACAGCCCCACGGGATGTCTGCTAAAGCCTCTGGTTTTTACAAGTATTCCTGAAAGGGCCAAAAAAAAAAATAATTAAAATTGTACCTTTCTGGAGTTAGTTAAAATACATTTTTTTTTTCCATGTTCCTCAGTCTTTACATTTTTCCCTCCCAAGGAAAATCAAATTACTCCTGTACATGAAAGCCATATAACTTCAGGAAGATGTAAACTACAAAGGAAGAGGAACAATGGAGAGAGCCTTAGGAGACTGCAGTCTTCATTTCCACAGAAACAGAAAGTGCTATGGGAATGGACATTAGTAACGTGTCACGCCTACAAATTAAAAGAAAACAACTAGGGACAAACTCCATGCACCAGTGGTGGCTGAAATCAGTAAGAACTGTCCAACAAAACACGTCTGTGAGCTCTGTGGATCTTTCCCCTGCAACATGTGCTTCTCTTCCCTAGTGCCAACCTCCTGGCGATGGGCACCAGCAGAACGAGGGGTCCTCGTGCCAGGACAAAACACTGCCAGAGCCCAGGGCTGGCTGGGTGCCTTTGCCTGACCAGCAGGACGTGCATGCCATCAATATTCCGTTACCTGGCTCGCTGGCTGCTTGTCTGAAGAGGCAGGGAGCTGCACTGGGCTCGGGGGGGGCTGGGGTTGCACGTAGATTTTTTGTGCCGTTGGTGCCTGCTGCAGTTTGGGCAGCTGCTGCGTGGTTTTTACTGCCAGCACCTGCACTACAGTTTGCTGTGGCTGTGCCACTAAGGTGGGGAGTTGCCTCTCTTTGGCCATCATGTGGTGGGGGGGGGTGCTGTGCCTCTGGCTTGCTCTGTGCTTGCTCCTGCTGCAGGGGGGTTAGCTTTTGATGCCTGATGGAAAGCTGGGGCATTTGCGGGAGTTTGTGCTGGATCTGGTCGGCCTGCAGGTGGATTGTCTGCTTCTGCTTGGTCTGGAAGCACTGCAGAGTTTTCACTTGCAGTTGAGTCTGTTCCAGCTGTGGCTGGCTCAGTTTTTGCTGCTTTTGTGCCTGTGACTGTGTCAGGGCAGATCTGTAAAACAGGCCAGTCTGAGGATCTAAGGTGTCCATCTCTTCCACTTCTCCCTCCTCGGTCCCAAGTTGCTCACTGTGTTTCGTAAATGCAGTGTGACTGCTTAAGGCCTTAAGGAGAAGAAGTTAGAGCAAGTCAGTGAAGAGAAAATGTAAGAATACACAATCTAGAAATAGTTTTTAATGTTTCAAACAGACACTTTAACTCATTTTGCCATTACAGGCTCCCGATTCCTGCATACAAAGATACTATTACATGGAGATTCCACAATACACGTGCAAGAAATAGCTACTTTTATCATGTTAAACTGTGGTACATCTCTAGGTGAGAATGTTAACTGCATCACCAATCCTCAGGGGGGTTTTGTACACCTCACTCGAGTCAGACTGAGGTTCAAAGCCCCCCAGGGCTGCCTGGCAGGTGGGCATGACGCAGGAGGGAGTAGGAGGCGGCTGAACCAACAGCTCCATGTTAAAACCAGAGTCTCTCTGCACAATTTTTACTCTGCCTCTTGAAAGCCCAATCATCTTATGCATGATTTCCTCTGCAGGTCCCCATAGGCCTACAGTCTACCTTATTTCAGCAGAGATCCCCCCTTCTCCTTCCTTTCTCCAAACTGTACTGCAATTTTTGTTGGGTGTCGCACAAATGTCTGATTTTCTGAGGGATCTGAGGGAGTGAGCAACCTACACTCTACACTTTGAACACCAGAGGATAAAGGCACTGACAAATGGCCTCAGCAAGGAGGAAGCAGCCTCCTCCAACACCCATGGAAATCCACCCCCTGGCAGGGGTTTGGAACCCTAACACAGAACTGTTCTGGAGCACAGCTGAAGTGCCCAGAGCTTAAAGCACTGCAGAGATGAGCAGGTCCTGACCAAAGGCAAAGGAGTGGCTTCAGTAAGACTGCACCACAAGCTGCAGTGTTTGTTTGAAGTGTTTGGGATCCTCACAGTACAGTCACTAAATACTATCTGACTTTTGATTCAGAGAAGTTTGCCCTTCCACCAGCTGGAGCCCTCAGATGGCAGGGACAGTGTGTGCTCTGGGCACTGCCCAGGTTCTGCTCAGCCCTCCTCCCCCTGCACTGCCACCAACACCAGCTGAGGAGTCCAGGCCCCTGCAACACAACCACCACCCTCACCACCAAAACACAGTCACAGAATGGTTTGGCCTGGGAGGGACCTTAAAGCCCATCCAGTGCCACCCCCTGCCATGGGCAGGGACACCTTCCACCAGCCCAGGTTGCTCCAAGCCCCGTCCAACCCGGCCTTGGACACTTCCAGGGATCCAGGGGCAGCCACAGCTTCTCTGGGCAACCTGTGCCAGGGCCTCAGCACCCTTATGGTAAAGAATTTCTTCCCAATATCTAATCTAAACCAAGGCCATTAAGGTAACCCTACAATTACTGATTTGCCTGTGCACTGAACGTTTTCGGCGGCAGCAACACGACACCTTCATCCAGAACGAGCCCTGCTCCTGTACAATCCATAGAGCCCGCTGCTGTGTACAGCCTGTTGGGAAAAGAAAGGGTCCAACCTGCTGCATGATGTGGGTGATGGCTCCCGTGGAGGAGGCGGGGATGGATTTCACCACCACCGAGGTCTGCGTTGCCGTCTGCGACTGCGCCACGTGCTGCAGGAGGGTCCGCGGGGGCTGCGCCGGCTGCGCGGGCTGCCGATGGCTCACTGCAAGCAAAGAGCTCAGTGCCACCCCTCCACAGCCTCCTCAGGGCTGCACCTAGGAGCTCGAGCCTCAGCTGGCACTCCAGCCTCAGCTGGCAGCTCGGAGGAGCAGGAGAGGTCTGTCTGCTCCGGCCTCGAGGGGCACAGCTGCTCTGAGAAACCTCCCCGGGGCGCTCGCTTTGCTCTCTGTTTCCTGAGCCACCACGCTCACTCCAAAGCTGCTCTGGCCTCCCTCTCCCAACACACCAACTCTGCAGGCAGAGCTTGTGCTCCATTGTCAGCTGGGTTCTTTCTACAGCACCAGCACAACACGCAGAGCACGAGTTATTCTGGTTTTACGCTGGTAAAAGCACCGCCACGACTGACTGCAATTAAGAACAGCAAGCCTTGCCCACTGAATTTCTACCACTGAGACACTGCACAACAGACCCTCCAGAGCACAGGCTAAATTTGGGAGATTAACACGTAGAAAATATTTGGGTATTATGAAAACAAGTGAGGCTGATCCGACATGACCTTGTCACAGGTCTGTGTCACTTTTGAGAACAGGTCCAGCAGGAGTTACAGAGTTATGGTGTGGGTCTGTAATGAAACAGTGGATCAACAGAAAAACTACGTGCTGCTGAGAAAAAAACCCAAAGAAACCATTCTATATTGCAGTCACTGATATGAATCCAAATTACTTTATACCTGTCCATATAAATATGTAAATATTTGCTTTATATCTTAGTTACAAAATATTTCATAACTGAAGGAGAAGAAGCAAAAAGTTGTAAATTCAGTTGTAACATAACTTAAAATTAAAAAGTTTCCAGTGACCTTCCTGAATGTTACAAGGAAGGTCATATTTTGAATTAATATGGTAATTTTCCTTTCTCACTCCAAGAAAGGAGATGGATTATATCAGTACCAGCCTGCATGCTGTGCCAGATTCATCCTGGACACCTCCCAACAGTTCCTACACAATTGGAAACTTAATTTAAAAGTAAAGTTTCTAACCTATATGGTTGTGTAGATATTCTTCCGAATGTGAACCAATACAGTGTTGTCTTCCTGAGTCTGCAGACAGACAAGAAAGGGTGACACTGAGATGTGTGAGCTGCTCCCCTCCCCTCAGGAGGGAGCACGTGCTGAATCCCAGCTCCCACAGGGATTGCAGTGTGCCCAATCCTTCGCTCCAGGGGCATGCAGGACATTCCACACCACACCACAGACTCTTTACTATCTTACTACTGAATTTTTAGCAGAAAATACAGCTCTGTGGGTTGCTGGTAAATCCAGAGAAGCACAAATTAAAAATAAAGAAACACTCAATGACCTGCATTCCCTGGCAGTGCTCACAGAAACTGGGGGAAGGGACAAAAATCTGAGAGCAAAATAAACACTCTTGTGCTGCAGCAGAACCTGCTGCTCCTCAGCCCACAGCAGCCTGCACTCCTCTGGGAGACTCCCAGATTTCCAATCAAGGTTTACAGAACTCCCAGTGTTTCAAACAGTGACAGCTCCAGGAAGTTTTCAGCCTTTGTACCTTGCGTGGCTCCTGAACTGCAGAAAAGGACAAAGGCACTGACTGCAGCTCCCCATCCTCCCTGCCAAAGGCCCTATTGGACATCAACTTGCACAGCAGGACCTGTCAAAAACTGGGACCTTGACCATGTGCTCAGTGCACAACATCCGTGCCAGGGAAGGAAAAGTGCTCTCCAGTGGGCAGGCAGTTATTTGTTGTGCTTGGGAGTTTGTTTTAAGGGAGATCCGAGGGAGCAGGACTCAAACATTCAGAATTGTAGCAGATACAGTAAGTGTTATTTAGGAGAATAACAATAACATCCTCCCCAGCTCCCAGTTTCACACAAATTTAGGCCCTACAAGGGATGGAAGCCAGGGAAGGAAGCACAGAGCAAAATATCAGATTAGACATTTAGCACTAAAACCACTGGAGTTACAGATATGTACCTAAACAATTCAATACAATTAAGTTTTATTTATTCCTCTATTCAATGTGGGTTTTCAACATGCTTTTGCTTTCCTTTTCCAAAGGAAGCAGGGAGGGAGACCAACAGTGTGGACTTGAGAAATTAAAATGGAAAACAGGCAATTTGATCCTCTCATGAAGTGGCTCACACCTAATGTTCTGGAGTGGTGGGGAGCATCAGAGAGACAAGGACCTACACAAAATGGGTGTCCAGACAGGAGGAGTCAGGAGTTTAAAAAGTCAGGCACTGAATTCCAACCAGAATTTGAATTATTTAAAGTGTAAATTTATCAGTTCAAAGCTTTCTAGCAAATGAAGAAACTGGGGACCACATCAGCATGCTAAAAATGCACACCTGGGTTTAACTCAGGACTAAATGGGTTTTACCTCAATGTCTGACTCCTCTCAATATGTACAAAAACCAGGATACAGTTCCTGTAACTTCACCTTGCACTTTGTCCTTACTGGACATTTTCCTTTAAGACAAGCGGGACAGTCTGTCTTCTTCATCCAGGGACCAGAAAATCTGTTCAACCACGATGTCTTAAAGCAACAACCCTTTGTATCAGTTAGAAACACATTCCCTTATGGCCCAGCAAGGCAGATACAATCTCTGTCCCCTCACAGGGTCTCGAGAATGGCAGAAAAGACTCATTTCCTCTACAGAAAATTACAGTGAAAACACAAAAGTGAAACCTATTGTGAGAAAACTCCAAAATTAAGTCCCCAGACTTCAACTGCAAAGCCACCATCCCACTGCCTTAGACACACACTTACCAGTTGTGATATATTCAGCCACTAATTCTGACTCCACGACAGCAATGGAAGGACTCTCTGGGGAATGCCTCTTTTCTTGAGTCATCTGGATGGGGACAGCCATCTGGCTCAGGTCAATGGTGGGCTGCCTGGGCTTCGACTCCAGCTTCTCCTTCACTGCTTCAGCAGAAAAACATGAAGTCAGCCTCTAACATATAAACCTCCACAATAAAACAAACCTCCAATATAAATGCACCAGTTTAATCAAACAGATCATGAACACCAGAGAACAGATGCACCAAGTACATGCAAACAAACCAATACAGGATAAGAGGAAAGGAATCAAGCTGATTCAAGAGAGGTGCTTTTCAATTACAAAACTTATTACAAAGGGCTGCTAAAGCAAAAAATAACCTTTGAAGTTATCCTAGACAATCTCATGGGTTTTCAGACCTGTTGTCTGCTGAAGTTCCAGCAAAGCTTTTATTGTGGAAGTAGCTGACTGAGATTCACTGGAAACATCCTGGTAAATTATTGTAGGGCTTGTGTCCACAGCAATTTCATGTTCTGACCAATCTTGACTTCTTGAAGCAATCACGTGGACCACAGGCTGAGAATCTGTTTGTTAAAGAACAAAGGCACATCACAGAGTCATGGAATGGTTTGGGTTGGGAGGGGACCTTAAACCTCATCCAGTGCCACCCCCTTCCACTGTCCCAGGCTTCTCCAGGACACTTCCAGGAATGGGGCAGCCACAGCTTCTCTGGGCAACCTGTGCCAGGACCATTTTGGGCTGGAGGTCTCCTGTCCAACTTCTTGCTTTAAAGCAGGGCTATAGTTTAAAATTATACTAAGTTATTCATTATTCATTAGAATTTTGACCAGTGCCAAGGATGCATACTCTGACTCTGCAATACTAGTTTTTATTACAATTGACTCTTGAAGTAAAACACTGCTGATGTTATGAATGATTTCCAGAAAAAAAAAATCCCGTATCTTAGTTTTTTTTCAAAAGACTTTGTTCCAAAAACCAAAGTTCAGAAGGTTTCTTTGTATGTTGAATTTGCCCTGGATCGAACTAGTTTTTTTTCACAGGGTTTTAGCAGTTCAGGTGATCAACACGTATTCAGCATCCTGCATTAATGGCTCCTAAATTTTGATAAGTTGGCTGAATCTTCAAAACTTCTTAAAATTCACTTAAAACGGCAGTGTGGACCAACAGTCACAGAATTATACAGATGAGGTCCAAAAGAAAGATAAACCAAAAAAATAAGGGCACAATGGCACTTTGGTGTAACAGGCTGGGTGAAAACCTGTGCTGCCAGGAGACACAGAGTTATGTGACACCTTGGGGACAGTCCCCTGGGGTTTCCTGGGACACCAACACACCTTGGGAGCTCTGGGAGGACTCTGTGGACGAGGAGCTGCTGTCGGTGTAGGTCTGTGGTTCCTCCTTCACCTCTGGCAGGGCTGGGGTCCCTGTCTCTGCCACCCTGGATGCCTGCTGCAGGGTCTCAGTCACCAGCTGCCTGGTCTGCTCGCTCACCACCGTGGCCTGGAACGTCACTGGCTTTGGTTTGATCAGGACCTGATCACACAGACACATTTGTGCATTGTGAGAGCACTCGAGAAAAGGGGGCTGAGCAATCAGGGTGCCACCAACAGACCTGGGGGCACCACCTACATAACATCCACATTAGCCACAAATCTACCTCTAAATTCAGCAACTGATTATTAAACCACAAAGCCCAAGTAAATGGCAATGCACAAGAATGCACTTCTCACTCGGCAATTTGAAGTCTTAACAAAATAAACCACTAAAGAGCAATTTTTCAGGGCTAGATACTACTCTGGTGTGGTAAGAGAAAGCTGTGCAAGTGAGCTGGGACATGCACTGCACTGGGAAGGACAAGCACCTCCACAGAAATCCAGTCCTGAACAATCAGGCACACGGCACGTTACATCTGATAAAAGTTTAATTCTTTTAAACACTAAGTGCAGCCAGAGAAAAAGCTGAAAGCACCCAGAAAGGAGCCTGACTCTGTGTATTCAGCCCCATCAACCACACAAGGCTGCAGGGACAACCTGAACAGACACTGAGCAGAAAATAAACTTCAATAAAACCTCAGATTTGATGGATGACCTGTGTCCAGACTGTGCATCTTTATATTTCCCAGGATCTAACCATTATCTGTCAGACTCAAACAGGCACCTAGAGCCATGACCAGACAGTTTCAGCTCTGGAACAGGCTCAGTAAATCCTTTTGGCTTGCTCAGGCCTCCAGAAAGAGCCAACAAATGCAAATACTGCTGGAGAAATCAGAATTAAGGCCACCTTGTTCCACCACTGAGTCTCATTCCCCACAGACACATATTAATCCTGCAACAAATGAGGCAACACAGTGAAAAATGATTTACTTCCCATTAAAATGGAGGGGTACATTCCAAGACAGAAATGGGTCCTCACTGTACCTGCGTTTTCCCTTGCTGCCCATAAACAATTTTAGTTGGGATGATTTTGGTGGCTGGCTGGACCGTGGACCCTATTCCTTTGGGCTGTGTAACAATCATTTTTGTGATGGGTCTTGTGGCAGTGATGATAGCAGGTTTTGCTCCTGCTGGCACTGCCTGAATAGTTTTCTCCCCCTGTAGAGAAGCCAAAGTTTACAGGTTAACTGTATGAAACTGTTCAGTGAGACCCACTTCTCTAAAAAAAGAAAAAATACAGTTATAGATGAGTGTGTGTACCATGAAATAAACTTGCTGCTGCAACTAGACTTACTTGAGACAAAATACATTAGAAGACCAAGAACAAAAGAACCTGCAGCTTTGAATGGAAAAAGCTACCAAAATCCCCTTTTCCATTCCTTTACCTTCTGAACAGCTCTGAAGGGGTGAATAAAAAGGAGTAACTAAAAGACACTGAGAAGTTTTTTGAAGCTGCTTCAAAGAGTTTACGTAAGTTGGAACTTTCCTCAAATCCTTCACAAATGTTTCTGAAAACCTCTAATTTCTGTGAACACTGACTGTGGCAAGACATCTACAAAACTTGAACTGAGATTCTAAAAGGGAGTTATTTAAATATAGATTTTTGTATTGTCCTCAGGACCAAGACATTAATCACACGTGGACTTCTTTTAAACCAAGTTCACTTCATCAACAAATGCAGATTCACAGCTGTGCCACAGGAATCATTTGACCATGGAATAGTGCTGATATATGAACAGACTCCTGATAGTTGAAGAGCAAAGACACTGAATGTGCTTTTTTTAAGCTCTGCAGAGTAACAAACCAAATGAGTGCAACAACATTAGTTGCCAGTTCTCCTAATATTCCTACCAATATCCATCAAATAGGAGGAAATCCCGAAAAACATACTTGTTTCAGAAATATCCTCCCATATTCCTGGCTCCTACTGTGTAACAAAATAAGATTTCCACTTGTCTGAAAATACATCTCGAATTCTGAAAATCAGGAAAGTTCAAAATTTAAAAAAAAAAAATCCTAAAAGGTTTAGAAAAAAACCTCTGTAGTTCTGCTGCTAAGCAGCCTTTAAAATGTTACATTAAATGCATTAAATCTCACAGTTCAGTGTAGGAACATTCACCATTTTCATTTACTAGTACTTAGAGGTGAACTCAGCTGATGCTGGAAACTGGATTTTATTCTTAGCACACGTCAGGTTATCCAAAAAATAATTCAGCACAGTACAATGCTCAGGTACAGGATGGTACAGTGTCACACACCACAGACACTGAGAGGGGGTTCCTCTGCTGGGAAGGCACAGTTTATTTCTGCCTGTTTAATACAAACAGCTGGGGATGCAAGTTTATAACCCAGGACCCAGGTTCTCACTAGAGCACAAACAGGGGGAGATTCCAGTCATGTTCATCTCCCTCATCACTTCAGCATCACAAAGGGAAAAAGGCAAGTTCAGAAGTTTCTATTTTCCTTTAACTCTGAAAACATTCCCAGCTGGCTTCAAGCACAGAATCCCATCCTGTGGCCCACAGTGGTTTCCCAAACCATGCTGGGTCTGCCAAGGAGCTCATGCAGCTGGCTTTGCAGAGAGCCCTGGCAGCAGGACTGCAGCAGCACACACAGCTCACCTGGCCCGGGGACAGTCACACCCTCACTCACCCCAGCGTTCAGCAGCGTCGTCACAACGTTCTTGCCTGGAAGCCCTTGGATTGTAGTTCCTTTCCCAGTGGTCTTTTGCACAACAATCACATTGGGTTTGGAGGTCATGGGAATCGTGGTGATTTTGGTTGTGGTTCCTAAATTTTTGTGGGAAAAGAAACATTGAGCAGTTTGTCCCGTTTTGTGTGTTCCCCTTCACTGTGGAAATCAGGGAGCTACAGAGGAATCACTGCACTTAAATCTGACAAGCACAACAAGAAGCCAGCATCATCTGGAATGGGAATCATTATCATCCTCATCAGGATCAGTCACAGCTTTCCCCACATTAGCTGGTGCTCAGGAAAGTGATACTTGCACTTGTGTATAAATTCACTAGTAGACCTAGAAATCATCTTAACAACTCATCATACCCACAACAGGCTGAAAAAAGTTACTTGTTCCCAAAGAACTGCTGCAGCATCCCTATATATGATTTGGCAGAAATCAAGACCTGAAAAAACTGAGGTACCTGTGCCAGATTCCAGCCCAGAGTGGGTTTCCTGGACAGCTTGTGCAGCACTTTCCAGGGACTGGAGCTGGCAGGGGCCATGTCAGGCCTTTGCTAAGCAAAGCTGAAGTCCAAAACATATGCTAAGAAATTGTTACTGGTATAAGTGTGCTTGGACCTGGTCCTAAAGAAACCCTATCTTAGAGGCTGGAGAATCCCAGAATGGTCTGGGTTGGAAGGGAACCTTTAAGATCATCCAGTTCCACCCCCTGCCACGGGCAGGGACACCTTCCACCAGCCCAGGTTGCTCCAAGCCCCGTCCAACCTGGCCTTGGACACTTCCAGATGTGGGGCAGCCACAGCTTCTCTGGGCACCCTGTGCCAGTCTGGAACTGGCAGAGAACCCAGGCTGGTCAGCAGACTAACAAAAACAAGCAGCAGGGTCTGCACGAAGCTGGGAGGGAAAGCTTAAGTTAGAACGTGGGCTAAAGGAAAGACAGGCTATAAAATACCAAATAAGGTGGAGACTGCACAGCTGAATTTAACACATACAGCTCATTTTTATTCTGGTTCTTTGGACATGCAGTGGGACAGAGAAGGGCAGCACTAAGATTATAAAATGTCTTAAACTGGGGCCAATGGTGTTTTCTAACCTTTCTGCCCACTCTACAGTACAGCAGTCCCACCCCACACTTCCCTTTTCCTCCCAGGCTTCCCTCACATTTGATGCTTCCTTCTTAAACACAAGAACTGCTGCCCTCCTTGAGAACACTTCACCTTCACAACTTCTACCTATTCCTTTCTTCTTCATGCTCAGCTATTTTTCTTCTGAATTCTCCAGTAAAGTTCCCAATAATGATCTGAGCACGGAACCCACCGGACAACCGGAGCAGGCCTGAAGTTATTCCTGCAGTTAAGTCTTAATATCAAGGTACTCGTGTGCCTACCAGAGACAATGTTGCTGCTGATGATCTTCCCTCCCAGGGTGGCCAGGGACTTTGGGACCACGGTGATGATGCTGCCACTGGTGGTTTTGACGTAGGTGGCAGCCCCTGGTGTGCCAGCCATGCGAGCCCCCAGGGACGGGCTCACCGTGGGCCGCGTGTACGTGGCTGCAGTCCCTGTTGGAAAGAGAGAAAGAGGGAGTTCACTGTTAGAACATGATCCTCTGCTGGCATTTGTGGAAAAATAACTTAGTTTAGGAAAAAAAAAGCACTGGATTTATTCAAAGAGATCCCACACTGCAATCTGTTGCCACCCTTCGCGATCCTTTAGTAGCTTTTTTACACCGACTTTAAATTATTGTCCCAGTCTCCTGAAGCATTTTAACAAATGTTCCACCACTGCCTTGTTTTATGTCCTTGTGCCTAAGACTGTAATTCTCAACAGATGTTTGGGTTCTGCCAGCGTTTCTGCCTCGTGCTCCCTTAGAAGCCCAAGAGTCAGGCACCTGATTGCACTTGTAAAACTCATCCCCCCTTCTCATGAAGGACACTCCTCTCACACCACAGACTGTTTACAAAGAGCACCACCAATGACTGCTCTAAACAACACTCCTAGAGAAAAACAAAATTTACCACGATGATGCAATTCTGTGGACTTAGCATACAGCAGCACAAAAGAAACCTAACACGCTAAAAACGCTGTTTTTTCAGAAACAGCCCTTTTCTGTATGGAAACAGAACAGAGCCCACAAAAGAAACTTGCTCAAAAATCATAAGTCAACAGCCCCACAAACACTGCAGTTCCATTCTGCTTGTACTGCTGCAGATAGCACACTTAATTGGGGAAGACCACAGAGCAAAACAGTTTGTTACAGCAAGAAAGACGTGTGCATATCCAAGAGAGCACAACACGTGTTTTACCAACTAAATAAACTGCAAAACTGCTATTTTTTTTAAAATGAATTCAAGAATGTATCCGTGAGGTACCTGAAAAGTCGTAAAAAGAACATTAACCCCTAGTTTATGCTAAGGACAAGAGGAGATGGCCTCAAGTTGCACCAGGGGAGGTTCAGGTTGGATACTACGAAAATACTGCTCGTGGAGAGGGTGGTCAGGCACTGGAACAGGCTGCCCAGGGAAGGGGTGGAATCCCCACCCCTGGGAGTGCTCCAAAGGCACCTGGATGTGGCCCTTGGGACAGGGTTTAATGTGAACATGGTGGTGTTGGGTCAATGGTCAGACTTGATAATCTCAGAGGGCTTCAATATTACTTCAATATTCCCAACCCATGCTAAAAAAAAACCCCAGGAAATAAGAGTTTTCTGAAAATCAGGATAAACTGCCTTTCAAGTTTTCCTCATACAAGTTTACAGTCTGAACAGCCTGCATTATTTCTGATCTTTAATCAATTACAAACACAAATACAATTAGATGCCCAGAAAAACACTGGGAGTTGAAATGTCAATTTACTGGCCTTTCCATAAATTCACTGCAGGACTATGAGCAAGTCACCTGTCTTTTAAAGCCCGTGTATGTAAAACAGGAATGATGCCGACCTGCCTGCTGGAGTTAAATCAATGTAAATTTTGTAATATAACGTGCTACAGAAGTGCAAAGTATCTGCAGAAGCTGAAAGAAAACTTCCTTTAAAAAAAAGGAAGGCCAGGGAAGGAACAATGATATTTTTGTGTGGCAATTCAAAGATCATAACAGGAGTAAAAGAGCCCTCAGTGCAAAAATCCTGAAGTAGAACAAATAACACCAGGAGAGTGAATGTGCTGTTGTGCTCACTGCTCAGGAGAGAGGGGTGGGGGTTTTTTAACCCTACAGAGCCATGCCTGGTCACCTGGATGCCTGGGTTTACCCTCCCTTCCCTTCTCAGAGCCAGAACTTACCAGTGGGAGTAGTGCCCAGTTTAGTTGTCATGATAGTCCCATTACTGCTAACCACCATAATGGGTGAATTGCTACTGCTGGGCAAGGTCGCTGTAACTGGTTTGGGAAGGATTTTACTGGGCTGCACCTGCTGAGTGATTATTTTAACACCTAGGAAAGGAGAAAGTCACTGTTAAAACACAGGCACGATAAGTTACTTTCTGAAATGCTTTCTCAGCATCGTAGCCCCACAAGGCTTCAATTCTGAGCCCATGTACTCTTGATCCTGAAAAAAATTATTTCATTTTTGGGGGCTGGGTTTTTTTTTTTTTTGCTTGGGTTTGGGGTTTTTTTTTTGTTTGTTTTGCAAATACCAAGACAGCCATCATCTTTGCCTTTCAAGTGCCTGTTTCAATTCCTAGCTGCTCCCACTGAGGCATAGGATTCCATCATTGCTTTTGTTTGATGTCGTTTTTAACTTTTCCTGGTCCATGATTCAAAATGAAGAATCGTTCCCAGGAGCCAACAGGTTACAATCAAGACTGAATTGGTTCATATATAATGAACCATCTGAAAGTGAAGTAATTCTTCAACAATTTAGTCTGTAAATCCTAGTGGGTCTTAATTAGTCTAGACAAACTTTGCCACCCTGAACAAATAAAAAAAAAAGCCTTTTGCACAAGGAGTATCAGTGACTGTAAGGAAGCAACTGTTACACTGGCTAGGGAAGGTTATTTTAAGTAAACTGTTCTCTTTCCTCTTGATTTATTGGTTACCTTGAAGCCAAAAGGAACTGGGCTGAAAAAATGGTATTTCTAAAGGAACTTTTAACTAAAAAGCACATTGAGCCTAAACCCATGGGAGAAGACAAGGAGTGAAGCTCTTATTGACCAAACATTGTTCAGTGACAGGAGGATGGAAGCCTTTTATCTGCCTTCATTAGTAGCTATTTTTTCCTCAAGCAATGGTCCTAGAATCCTTAAGGAAGTTTTATCAAAGGACAGAAGTAGGTCTGTTTATTTTTTCATTCTATGGTCTATTTTAATTCTTTGATCTAAATAGTATGACTATAAAATGGTAATTTTACCGATATGGGTAATATAAAATACTAATTTTATATTTATATATATATATATAAATACTTTGCACTTGTATAGCATTTCTTCCTTTAGAAGTGGGTAACTTTGCAAGCATTACTTCTCACTGAGATAACAACTGTATGCTACAGCAGAGAAAAGCCAAGGAAGAAAGATTACATGACTTGCCCAAAGTCAGCTGAATGAATCAGTGTTACAAAAAGGATCCAGTCCAACTTCCAGATCTAATTGTATTTGTTTTGACAAGTACCTCAAAAGTAGGTTTTGATTTCTGGACCAAAGAAAAGAATTAAAATACAGATTAACTTCTTTTTCCAGTTGATACAGCCAAACAGCTCCTGGATCTTCAGAAAACTGGTCTCCTCCAGGCTGCCAATCACATTACTTTTGAAGTTATTTACATACCTCTAGAGATAAAATATGGCCTGTAACGCCTGAACCAAACAAGAAGAATGAAAGACCCAAATTCTGTAATGTTTGCTGAAAACATGCAAATCTCTCCTTCTGCTGAGGTTCAGAGCCCAGCGCCGCACTCGGGAGATCATCCAGCTCCCCGTGCCCAGCGCGGGCACAGCTCACCAACACGACCCCAGAGCAGCCCCCACTACCTGATTCCTGCTTGATCTGGATGGTGGGCTTGATGCCAGGGGGCAGCTGGGGCTGCTGGGGCTGCTGCTGGGCCCCCGAGGAGGGCACCAGCTGCTGCTGCTGCTGCTGGGCGGGCGGGACCTGGTGCAGCGGCTGCTTGGGAGGCTGCGGGTGCTGCTTGGGGAACTGCAGGAGCTGCGAGGGGCTGCCCACCAGGGCCTTCGGGGAGGGCAGCCTGCTCGAGGCCACCTTGATGGCTGAGGTGGACACACCTGGGGGACAGAAAAGGGGGGAAGAGTGAACAGTGCATCACCAAAGAGAGACACTGCCATTTCCAAAATAACTATGTATTCCAACTGGCTTTGCTGCTGGAAAAGGCAGGGGGATTTGTGGGGATATAAAGCTCCCACGTAGCGGAACTGCTCTGTTAGGAGGCAATCCCCCCCTTTACATTTGGAGGGATTATCAGTTTATGTCCCAAAATGTTTCACCAGCGTCTTCTGCACTGACACTGACAGCTGGAAAAAAACTGTCACGGAGATGCTCCACCCCACTGCATTTTAGAATTAAAGTCTCCTCCATGAGCAAACCCAACCAAAAATCAATGGTTTCAACAGTCTGCTGTAAGCCCTCCTGCTCTGTAGATTACTATCTGATGATATTAATAGAAGCAATATGGAAGGAAAATACCTCCTCAGCCTTGATATGGTTACCCAGTTCTGTAGCGTGGAACAAGAATGGAAAACACGAGCCAGGAAAAACTGTGATGTGACACTTGTCACTGTCAGGTGGGGGTTTTTCAAGCGCTGCTCATTAAGATCCCTTCACTCATTCCCAGCTTCCCTTTCAAAGGTTAGCTGGTGGCTGTGCAGCTGAACAGTCCAGCTGGCACACACAGCTGCAACTTGAGATCAGAAACCTGGAAATTTCAATCAGGCCCACTCAGGCCTTAATTAAAAAGGAGTTTAGAACCGACGTGCTGATAAAATATGCAGATAACAAGATGTAAACGCTTCTCTACCTTTCATAATTGTCATCTGGGCGTGTTAAACTTGTGTTCCTTTGATGTTAACTATGTATGTTTTTGTAAGTCAGGCTTTTAAGAGAAGCAATCACCTTCAAATACTGGAAACATCCACTTCCATGCACCAGGTGGAGTTCTCAAAGCCAGTCCTTTGGAGGCTACAGCGTTTTAATGATGCACGTCACGTTTTTAAAACCCAAAAACCTACGTCCCGTTTTTAAAACCCAAAACCTACGTCCCGTTTTT